AAAAAAAAAAAAAAAGCAGATAATATCCTGTAGTTAAATTTCACTGGCTGGGATCCCTGTGGAGCTAGAGAGTATGGCATGGAACCATTCATAGTTTAGAAACAGTGATCTAACAACTTTAAACTACTTTGATCATATTAGAATGTGCTCTGGGAGATCTTAGTTTATTTTCAGATTCTGAATAACACTTCCTGTGTTGAGTTCTGCTGGTGACATAGGTTGGTATGACATGGAGTTACGCCTGTACATATCACTTTATGGAGAGGATGGAAGAAGGTATTCCATTACTCCTTCCATAACTTCCCTCTGCCTCACAAAGAAGGCAATATTCCTGGCCATTTAGCTGTTAATGGAGGGAGCACCATGGCAGTGGCTGGTTGAACTTTCTTCCCTGGAGCCAGAAAGGCAGCATCTTCACTCATTGACAGGCTCTAGTACTAAACAGCCATGTGGGCACATGTTCCACCACGGATGTTGCCTTCTATGTCTGCCCAGTGGCAGAACTCTGTTGCAGAGTGTTACACTTTGCAAGCTGTATGTAGGGTTTCTTCTTGGATTTTCTATATTTCTAGGCCTCATGTTTTCAAACAATTCCCCCCCCCCGATTTTCTTAAGAACGACTGATCCCCAGCACACTTGTAATATATCTATGTGCTATTATACTGAAAAGATGTATTTTTTTACAGCTGATATAGAGTATTTGTATTGGACACACATGCACTCATAGGCAGGATGGACAACTTGTGGCCTTTCAGATGTTCTTGGATTGCAACTTACATCAGTCTTAGCCAGAATAGTCAATGATAAGGACTGATGGGAACTGCAGTTGAAAAACATCTTGAGGCTTACAACCAACTCCCCCATTCTATAGTACCTTTGAAGAGGCAGAAAATAAATATGTTGTTTTTGCACTTGCCATTTCTCTTAGTTGACTGATGGTGCATCTGAAAATGCTTGTGCATATACAGACAATATATGGTCCATATAGCCAGTATTTCTGCTTATTCTCTGATCTGATCAATCCCTTTTGATAATTCTGTCAATTGTAGGTTCTAAACTGGGCTTTGTGCTTTAGCACAGTGGTGGGGAACCTATAGTTCTTCTCAGAGAATTGCAGGTCCTCCAAGTATTGAACACCACTTCCACTGCCAAAGGCAGTGATGGGGATGATGATGATTGTAGTCAAAACACCATTTGACAACATTCCACAACCCTGACCTAATGGTATCCATAGGAAAAACAGTTTCTCCCAAGCTAATTGCATGGCTCTCTAGATCTATACACTCCCTTACCATATTCCTACTTGTTGCCATCACTGCATTTAAAAACAATTGACTGCAGAGATGTAGCTAGGTCAACCCCCATTGCTTTTTCATTTGATGCAAAAGCCAGGCCACTCATGCCATGTGCAAACTAAATAGGACTGATAGTGTCTGTATTAATGTCAGCCAGAGCTATGAGTGTTAATCAATTTGCTTGGTAGGTTAATCAACTAAAGCTTCTGTTGCATTTGAAATCTGCAGTCTGATTAATTAGTAGAGCTAATATTGAAAGAGAACTACAGTGCAGATGGCAGACACTTGTCAGCTCCTCCTCTGTGGAAAGGAACATATAAACATGTAGATTTCTCCCCTCCAGTTTGTAGCAAGTAGACAACATTCTTCCAATACATGACTCAAACACATGTTTTATGCAACTCACAGTGATCAGATGAAACTAGTGTCAATATGTCTGTGAGATCTCGAGGTTCCACAGTACTGATAAGCTATATAAACTTATTCCATTTTTGGTTAACCCTAATATGAGTAAACTTTGCATGTGTGCCTACTTTGAGAAACTCCAGGACAGAGAATGTGTCCCTTGCTGCTCCTTGCCCTTCATCTCTTTTGCTGCAGTTGCAGTCCCACAACCTAAGAACTATGCAAGATTTCTCCTCTAAATGCTATGAATGTTTCTGTCAGTCAGCCAGACCCCCTTGTTTGGCAAAGACACACTGGTGCTTGACAGCAGGAACAGTCTTGACCTGAAAGAGGTTGGCTTGAGCCCATTAGGTGGCAGGTGTAATTGCTTGCCATAAAAGCACTGGTGTTGGCAGATTCCTCTCTCCACTGAGTGCCACAAGTGATTTGTGAGGGATATTTCTCTTCCAAGGGCAACCTGCATCCTGCAGGGAAATTTGTTTTAAAACGTCAGCAAAATCTTTAGAGAAATGACAGCAACCAAGGAAAAGTCTCCCCTGTCTTCAATCCTTTTAATAATCTGAGCTGCAAGAATATTTAAATCCCTCATTATAGTCCATGCAGTGAAGGATGTGGATTCATCCTACAGTGATGAAATGATGTGCCCCTAGGATCACAGACTGCCAGTGATTTCAGCCCAAGAAATAATGGAATGATCCTAATTATTCAGGAGTTCTTCATCACTCCCTAAGTACATAGCTTTAGCCATATCTGTAGATCAATCTAAAACAAATGCTGTGATTGATACATGAAAATGCACAACTCACCCTCCACCCCCAGAATCTACCATCTCCTTTTTCTCCCATATCCTGGCCAAAATGGTGACCAAAAGTGATCAGAAAAGCTTTTGGGGAGATGCTGCCAAGATGTGGAGCAGGAGAAAATTACCCCCCCACCCAACTCCTGCACAGTTGTCTATCTTCACTGTTCCACATGCATGCAGACATGGATTTGGCAGTTTAGAGACCCAACATAACATTGGTTATTTGTTGTTGTTGTTGTGTGCCTTGAAGTTGTTTCCGACTTATGAAGACCCTAAGGCAAACTTATCATGGGATCTTCTTGGCAAGATTTGTTCAGAGGAGGTTTGCCATTGCCTTCCCCTGAGGCTGAGAGCATGTGACTTTCTCAAGGTCACCTAGTGAATTTCATGGTCAAGCGGGGAATTGAACCCTGGTCTCCAGAGTCACAGTCCAACATTCAAACCACTACACTATGCATTGCGTATGCTACCCAGAGATCTATCTACCTACCTATATACTATCAATGTACATTGCACATGTTACACAGCAAAATGTGTTTAGTGCTGCTAAATTACAGTTTGTAATTTTACTTTCAGTCTCAGCTCATGTAAGCCCTTTCCCTCCTTTAAACGTTCATCTATATGCCTGAAACAATAATGTGGTTCCTATCTCTAAGTGCTACAGATGTGAAATCTTTTCAAGCCATGGTTACTTATAATAAGGAATGTCATGGCACTTCTCATTCATTCTACCAGATGATTCATCATCACTTTCCTGGACTGAAAACTGATGCATATGACCTATCTCACAAGAGACCTTAATTATTGCCTTTTGATTATGTGGCACTGGCTTTACTTAGAGCAGTTCCCAAATCTGCTTTCCTCTGGTCTTGAAAACACCCTAGCTGCATTACTGTTTAACCACCCTTGCTTTCCAAACTGCAGCTACTGTCAAATGCCTAAACAAATGTTATGAGTTGAGTCTTTTGGAATTTTAGATGCTTATAGTGAGCAGGACATGAAGTGAAGCTAATCAGAAATCTTTTAGAATATCTTGTTGAAACCACATTATGCACTGGTTTCCAAAATGTAGCTGGACATTTGTTTTTACTTCTCCAGTCCTGAAGAGGGACATAGTATTTGAAGATCTATAAATGCAATTATAAATGCATTTTGCAGATCATTGCACAGAACAGCATCAATCACTGAGGGATGCTTACAATGCAAAAGTGCTCTGAGGATAATTGCAGGTTTGTAATGACAGGTATCTTTATTGTTTCTGATTTAGAGCCAAATACCTTCAGCATGTCTTTGGGAAAATGCAGCAGTACCTCTGTTTATGTCAGTGAACAGCTGGATTACCATTGGCTCTAAATCATCCACTCTGCTGATGGAGAGATGAAGAGCTCTTTGAAGAATGACAAGCTTTTCAGCAATCTATATTACTCTTTGTATCGCCCTGAATTACAAGATTTTGAGGAATTTATTACGCACCTTTGCACAGTGTGTCTACCTGAAGAGAAAGGGTAGGAGAGGGAAGAGGAGAGCAAGGTCTCAGTGACAGGTTAGTTTCCAGGCTGAGGCAGGGGAGATATGTTCCTGGCTGGAATGACTGCAGTTTATTCTACAGATGTATATTGGGTTGAATGAGGCATGCAACTCAGATTATTTATATATCTGGATATAAGTATGCATATATAACTAGAGTGTGTTGGAACAGTTTTAGAGCTCAGTATTTCTTTGATTTATTTTTCCTCCTTAACACAGAACACATACTTTTTCTCTTTTATTCTCTCTACACTTTTCAGACACTGCTACAAATATCTGGTCATATATAAGCTCCCCTAATGCTGTATAGGTCCATAACTTTCAGGACAGAATTCATTACAAAAGATTAAGAAACAGTATAGTTTCTGAAAGAGAACTGAAAAATCAGTCTGGCTGGGCAAAAGTTTCATTTACACCAGAGAGATTGTATCACTGTATATATTCACAATGCTATGTAATTATGGGGGGGGGGCAGTGAATTTAGTACTGATTAGAGATTTCATTATCCCAACAGCATCTGTTTTAATTTTTAAGAGGGCAAACTAGTTCCTAATTCTTATTGGTGTAAACCAGGATTGTAGCTAGGGAGAGGGAAGAATTCTGCCCTCCCCAATGAAATTTTCTTTCAGGCCCCAAATCCCTAGCATCACATTAATTTAAACTTAAGTTAAGCATTTGGAAATACAATTTAGACATCCTAGAAAAGGGGAAGGCAAAGTCACCAAGGGAATGCAAACACAAAAATTAGAAGAGTTCCAGGTGTGATTGATTTTCATGATCTTTTTTCTCTGCAATGCTAAAAATATGAAGAGTGAAGCAAATTTTTATTTGGGTGGGCAGAATTCTTATGGAGATGCAGTTCCCTCATTTAGCCCCTTCCCCAATACCTTTGCCCCTGGTGTGAACTAAAAAAACCCCCCATAGATGAAATGTTCAGACAATAGGGAAGTTGCAATGAGGCTTCAGGGTGAATCTTCAGTGCCACACGTAGCTCACTGATAGTATCCCATGTTTTCAGAATAAATCATGGAAATAAGGCAAAGATATTAACATTACCTGTTTTGGATCATTCATATAGATTGCAAAATTCAGCTTTTTACAGTACAGGATTTGTGCTTCCTCGGCTGTGATGTATGTCACAATTGTATGTAGGTGTAAGGAAAAAAATCTTTCAGTATTTGCATTGTGTCCTCAACCAGCCCATTGCTTAAGATGTTTGCTGTCCTTTTCCCATCTGAGAAACAAACATACCCTTAGTTCTGGGGTCAAATCTTGTCTACTGCTGCTGCTCTTAGGGCAAAAGAGCTATAGAAGGATCCATCTTATCCCCCTATTTGCAGCAAAGACAGGCATTTCTCAAAGGGGAACAGCAAATGTAGTGTTACTCAATGGACTTCTTAGTCATGCTCAAAATCTATGACATTTTGGAATTCTTCCTGGACAGAAGGTTGAAATGTAGGACATGTCCTGGAAAAGGAGTATGTCTGGTCACCCTGGGCTAAGATCAAGTGTAGTGAAAAATAGGCACAGCAAAGAATAGGGAGTCCAGGAACAGAGGAAGGGAGAGGGAGAGCTGCCAGTGGCCTGAAGGATAGATAGAAAAGGGGGATGCCTTTGAAAAGGAGGGATTTAATGTCTAAAATAGGGACTAAGGGGGAAAATTGACTGTATAAACCAACTCATACAGGATCTAGGTACAATATACCATTAGCAGGAAAGGAATGGATTGAGAAAAAAATGTTTTGGAGGCTGGAGTATTGTGAGACAAAGAGCAGTCTGATCTGGAAAAGTTGTACTTAGCTGTACTTTCAAAAATAAAATTAAAAATCATAACCAGTGGTGGGAAAAGCCACACTTCAAATTCAGCCAGACTCTTAAAGGTACAAGAAGCTTCTCAAGATTTGAACCTCACAAATTGAAGGAGTTGGCAAGATCCAAGAGTTAACGAGGTCAGTTAGAATGAAGTGACCAAACATAAGGGGGGACATCATAGGTGGCTCTGGTTGTTGGTGTCTAACACTGCCTAGCTTTTAACAGCAGCTTAGAGAGCTGGGCATGTTTAGTTTGGAAAAGAAAAGATTAAGGGGCATCAGGATAGCCATGTTTAAATATTTGAAGGGATGTCATATTGAGGATAGAGCAAGCTTGTTTTCTGCTGCTCCAGAGAATAGAACCTGGAGCAATGGATGCACACTTGGAATCTGATGGTAAGAGCTGTTTGACAGTGAAGTATGCTGCCTAGGCGTGTAGTGGGGTCTCCTTCTTTGGAAGTTTTTAAACAGAGGTTGGATGGCC